ACAGTCACCCAGGACTGAGATGGGCCTTCCGCTGAGAGCAGAGTGAACACACATTATAGATACCGCTGAAATCGCACCACGACCACCCCAACAGATGCCAGCAAGCTTCAGTCAATGCAGTCCTGGATGAGTGCTGGTCAATGGCTACAAAACAAGGAAGCAGAGGTGCACCAATATGGGAACTGTGGCCTGATGCCTATCTGATATTTTTTATGTGCCTATGCTGATGTCAGTATATACACATTTATAATCCAACTGTAAAAAACCCTTATTTGTATAGGGTTATAAATGCAGTGAAATGAATATAATGCAAACATCTTTAGCACAGCAGGCCAGCGTTGCAAACACTATATACAACTTTAAATATTAGCTTGAAATACACACATGAAAACTCAAGGTGACGTTCAGAAACCAGTTCCCTGTAAAGTGGTCTGGGAGCATTGTTCCTAGAAGAAATGCTTTGTCATGAGACTAAAATACTGGAGTGACTGCTGTGAAAGCTTTTCAGCAACTATGCAAATACAAGCCAGTCCAAAATTGTACTCTTTTAGAGGTGTTTTGATTTATTCGTTAAAAATCTGTTGTTTAGCATAGCAAGGTGAGAAGGTCAGTGTGCATAAAATCTGCTCAACATCTCTGTTTGAGACTCCACATCTATTATGAATAGATTAGCCACTCTAAAAACTGAAAACTATCCTGTCGTTTCTGTTCTCATCCGCTAAAAGGCCTATATTGTGCCATAAGGCGTACTGTACTTGGACCCCAATGATTGCCACTTGCAACATAATTTGTAGACGGTTGTTTAGCTCTCATAGCAGTTATGATAAGGAAAAGGAAGCTGATGTTCTTGATTGATAATAATGATAATTTACAAGTTTTTTCCCCACTGTTGAAAATAAAAAAGAGACCAGAATATGCAAAAATGAATTTCACCACACATGAAACGTGGCTTTCTTTTCACATCTTGGTAATGTTCTGCATGGGTAGAGGTTCTGATGACAATTAGATACTATATCTGTGGGTCAACGAATAATGGCCATGAGCTGCTGCTATGCAGTGTTTGAGGGAGAGAAGTGATTCTCTCCCAGAATTCTCTGCTGGCAGTAGATCAACTCCCTTCTAAAACTAAAAACTCTTCAAGTCTACATGTGAATGGCATATTCAGCATTCGAAACTGCAGATTTTTTAAGCAAACACCTGTGGATTACGACATGATTCCAACATGATTGTGCATCCCTATTAACAAGCCAGCGTTTTCTAGCTTAAAGTAATTACAGTATTTATGTATTTGGGATCTTTGAAAGGCTTTGCGTGGTTTGTTTAACTGTCTGCTTGAATAATCGTCAACATATTTTCGCAGATTACTAAAATACATCGCTAATATAATCAATAGGGACAGCTCTAATTTAGAGTACTGTATTTTTAACTCCAGGCCCAAAAGCCCCAACACTGGTTCCATGTGCACCCAGCACACCATGACCCAGCAAAAGCATGCCTGAAGATCACTTTGCATTAATTAGACAAAAAACAGAAAATAAGATCTTCAGACACAAAATAATATTTATGTATGTAAATCATCTCAATTCTAGATGTTATTTCATGATTGTGCACTGTTTCCACAACAGGGTTGTCCAATCGTAGCTGAACGTTTTCATTCTAATCAAGCAGGAGATTCAACTGGTCTCAGCTCGCAGCTGGTCATATGTGCTCCTGCTCTGCTAGAATGAAATCTTACAGCCATGCCAGCCCTTTGTAGATAAGACTGGACACCCCCTGTTCTACAGACACCAAACTTTCATCTCATGCACATCTGTTTGACATTTATAGGAACAATTTATTAAACTGTTGGCTCCGGCTGCATTTTTCAATTGGCAGTAATCATGCAGAATACCCGTTAGGCCAATAAACACCAGCCAGTTGACAATATTTCTTCTGCGTTTTACTCCACAGAGCAAAACCCTACTGTTCTTTAGGAATAAATCCTTTTACGTCGCCCTAGAGTCCAGCGTCCATTCTAAAGGCTAACAATGACAACACTAAAGGAAACACATGACTTTAGAAGCCTGTGAGACAATGCCATCATCAGAAAAACAACATCAGAAATGATCAGCTCCTATGTGTCGGCCATGCACGTGTCGTGGGTTAACAACTTGCTCGACTGTCTTAAAGTGTAGACTCTTTAGCCTCCGTTCATACCTGGTAAAACATCCATCTCGAAAGATCTGACCACAAGAGGACACCAAGAAACATTGCTGGTGTGTCTCGAATGTGTCTCCACTGACTGCTCACGTTCGGATTTAGGGACAGGAGGAAGGGTACTCATGAGACACCAGATTCGTCATCAGACAAATCAGGATGCTTTAGCGTTCACACTACAAATATCCTGCAGTCATATGCGCTCCTGACCACCTCTGAAAGCGGTCAGAGTGATCGGATCACAAACTGTCTCCAAGACACACTGGGCCGCGTTCACACTTGTACTTAGCGCTGTCACTTAGGATCGTATTACTTAAGACTCATGTTAATGCCGTGTGTGCACAGGGTCTTAAAGAAGTGCTGAAAGATTAATCGTTTTTGTATCAAGATTGAACTTTGAAACAGTGTGACTGTGTCAAATATTGTAAAAAAACACTTGTCCCCAAATCGTTTGGCCCTACCTTAAGGTAAATTCCGCCTCAGTTTTTACACTGTTCAGAGGATTTGGCTTAACATCACAAGACTTATCCGTACAAAGCCTCTGCTTTTCAAATATATGCTTTGTGTTCAATGGGAATTTCTTCATAATTAAGTGGTCGAAATGTAAACAAAGTCATTCAGGGTGTTTTGATGTGAAATGCTTCATTCTAGAGACACTTATAAACTCAGAATTGTTCACAGCAGTGGTGACAGGAACCCAATGTCTGTATTTATTAGCTCCCTCACAGAAAGTTATTACATGAAATGGTCAAGAACATGCTGCCTGATACCAGAGACACTCTTTTACGGGCACTGTAAGGCAAAACAGTCCCCAGAGAAAACTACTTTTTTCCAGATTTACCACTACTTTTTGCTTATGAACATTACATAAAAAAATTCATGCAGGTTCACTGGTGGTGAATACAGTGGCTTTATTTGTGTTGCAGACATTGCAACCCTTAGTTCCAATCACCACCACTGTAAAGGAAATCTAAGTCAGTAAGTTTCTCTACAATGACTATTTCACATCAAATCACTCTGAATGACTTTGTTCACATCTCAGTGATTGAATTCTCCTTCCACTCTGTGACTTCATTAAGCACAATTTAACTTAGTCAAGTAAGCTTAATATAACATACCTACATAGAATGTATTCAACTTTACTATTTCAACAGTTTCACTTTCAGTCGTCGGGAAAAAAACATTCACTGACATCAGAGCATTTCTACAGAACAGACAGTTTATCACTCCATCTCTCAATCGTTCCCTCACAATCACTCAAGCCAACATGCACTTTACTTCCTCTCCGCGGTGAGCCACTGTCAGACCTAGGTCCTGTTTCTTTCAGAAGAGACATACTAGCATACTTAGACAGCCTAATTTTCTGAAAGCAAAATGTCGACAATAAAAAAGTGATTAACATACAGTGTGTGTAGCTTAAAGGGGAACTCCACTGATCTTTCAAAATTTCTGCATAACTAAATAGTGCATATGTCAACAAAGTCATTCTGAGTGGTTTGCTGTGAAATGCTTTATTCTAGAGAAACTTAGCAGGGCACAACTTTTCACAGTCGTGGTAACAGGAACAAAAAACAGCTGAGGAGTTTAACACCTCTAAACGCTCCCTAAGAAAGTTCTTCCATTAAATGGTTATGAAGACACCGCCTGATGTATGAAACATTCCTTTACAGTGGTTTTGGGGTAAAGTTTTGGCCAACAATTCATTTTAACCAGTTTAATCTATTCCTTGTTAGGGATACAAAAAGAGTGCTCTAAGACTAAATAGTACCCCCCCCCCTAAAAACTCAGAAGATGTGCAGGTTCACTGGTGGTTTTGGATAGTAAATTAAATGACTTTGTTTGCACTTTAGACATCGGGAGTCCTGGTTCCTATCACCACCACTGTAAAGAAATCTGAGTCTGCAAGTTTCTCTGAAAAGGAACCACTTCGCATCAAACCAATCTGAATGACTGTTTACATTTCAACAACTGAATTATACAGAAATTTTGAAAAAATCTGCGGGATTCCCCTTTAAGGCACCGTTCACTAACTGCTAGCCCATTAGCTACATGTAGGAAACGGGTTTGGCATTTTAAACGCAACCGCCGGTGAGTCTTATCTGTGTTCGCTAAACATCTTCAGTAAAAGTAGCATTTTCAACGCTAAACAAACATTTTGAGGCATAAAATACTACAACAGCGAACATTAACGTATCCTGAGCCAACACCGCTACGTGAGGAACGTAAAGTGAGAACAATTTGACAGAAAAATTCACAAATGACAACCTACTGACTAACCTAAGCTACCTTTAACACGCCTCACAACGTCTGCTCTGTCCATCACGGAGCAACATTAAAGAACAAAGTCAACCCCAAGCAGCCTATATTCACCAGCTTCAAACTGTGGTGAGTTAATAAGGCAGCACATGAGGTAATTAGCGATGAGAAACTAGCTGGCTCAGTGAATTAAGCCAGTCGGAAGAGGCTGGTGGCAAACACAAATGTCAACGGCAAAGCGAGACTTCAATGAGAACACGGTTCTGATTCTCACTAACGCTGTCTGATGTAGAGAGACAGGGGCTGGCTAGCTAAACGGTCGTAATGTAACATGGGGCAAACGTCTCCATTAAAGACCCTAAACTACCTCTGCGCTGCTTATTTAGAGGAAAAATAGAGGCTAACACTAATTCAGCTTGACTGGCGGTGGTGCTTTGCTGCTTGCCCCTACTAGCTAGCGATAACACCAGCTAGCACAACCGCAGTGGACCGCAGCGGACTGCGCCGCTGCTATTTAAGATTAAAAATGGCGAAAAGACAAGACTTACCTTTTTTTGTCTCTGTATCTTATCCGTGTACGATTACCAGGGCCCGTTAGCTTTAAAATAATCTCCTGGCAGAGAAAAGCCTGTGTGCCTTTGAACAGAGCCAGCCGTGTAACCTGCCTGTCTCTCTCTCTACATTCAACCATCGACACACGCAGGGTGAGTAAGGGAGTGTGGTGATGTTCGCGGCAGGCACTGAAACGAAAAAAAACTAGATACGTCTGAAGGGGGTATTTCGTAAAGCAGTATATATGTATACATACATAAACATGTGTATATGTGTTGAAAGGCTTACGTATTGACATATCAAAAATAAATCATACATTATATTCTTGATTTATATTTAAATTGAGTTTTCAGTGCTTGTAAACATGAACAACTGAGTGAACAACGTGTTTACGTTTCAGCTTGTCAACCACGTTTTTCGACGAGAATGACCATTTATCCTGAGCCCTAAGCAACAACGTTTGTGCAGGTCGGTAAAGTGCTCGTGTTTGTCGCCATCTGCTGCCTGTTAGTAAAAATGCAGACTAAAACTTGACTTATTTACCTGTAAACAAAAATGCAAGTCAACACCTTCATTCCGATTTTCTCACCAAACAGACTGAGAAGGGGGTACAGCTTGTGCAAATACTCAGCTCAAGTCAAACAGGCAATTCCATTTAATTCTGTTTGCTAAGAACGCAGGGCTGCTTCTCTGGATTTTGAGGGTGCAGGATGAGTATGTGAATATGAGAACGTGTATGATATCTGATATCGAATTACGAGCGATTATTAAATGGCCTGAATATGATTGCATGGTCTGTATAATTAAATCATTAAGATGTAAACAAGGTCATTCAGTGACTCAGAAACTTACTGAATTAGAACTGTTCACAGTGGTGGTGATAGGAACCAGACGTCTGAAGAGTTTAATGCCTTTAAAGTTATTACATGACATGAGTACAAATAAACTGCCTGAAGCCTGAGACCTTATTTTATAACAGATTTGAGATAAGATTTTGGTCTAAAGCACCATTTTTAATTACACTTATAGCATGCAGGAAAATCTACAGCAAAATAGTACCTAGAGAAAACATTTATTTATTTATTTATTTATTTATTTAAGACTTCACACTATTTTACAGTCATTATTGGCTATAAAAACTCAGAAGGTGCGTAGATTTACCAGCCATTTTGATAGTAAATAAAATGGCTATATTGGCATTGTAGACACCGTGAACCCTGGTTCCTATCACCACTACTGTAAAGAAATCTGAGTCTAAGTTTCTCTATAATGTACCATTTCACATCAAACCACTCAGAAAGACTTTGTTCACACCTCAATGACTAAATTATACAGAAATATTGTAAAATTAGGAAAATTCCCCTTTAAATTAGAGTGCTGTGAATGACCGGTTGAAGTTGGACTGAATCTCCACAAGAGGACAGTCCAAGCCAGCAGTTCCGTTCCACAGAATAGAGACGAGGTATCGTGTAATTCTGTAAAGTGATGCATTGTCCATATTTGTTCAAGCATTTCAGTTTTAATGATGGTGCTTTATGTATCGGTGGTTTATATGTCATAAGGTAATGAATTTAACCCCTTCTATGGGTGGCAGTTTACTGCTTCTGATGTTTTTAAAAGTCAATTTTGAAGTTAACAACATTCTTGTCCTAAGTGGATAAAGTTGTAATTTTATAGACCACATATTCCTTATTGAACCCCAGGGGGGAACACCCAGGGCTTCAAGGCCTTCAGAGAAAGCCTAGTGGTTTCTGCAAACTACATGTCTGTAATATTTAGTTCCTTTTTATTTAATATAATTGTGCTTCTTGTATTTAAACTCTTCAAGAATTGCAGTAATACTTTTATATCATTGCAAAGTTTTGGGTTAAATTCTTGAAACACTCAACTAGGAACTGCTCAATTTGGCACGTAGGCAAATACAACCGAGCAATCTTTCCCATTGGTTAAGACTTCAGGAGCTGAACTGAAGGCTCAAAGTGTCAGAATTACTACTTACATAATTAGGAAATGACAGTGGAATCAGTGGAATCAACCAATCACAATTTGATCCACCTCTCTGGTGGAAATGTGCAATTGCAAGTTAATTAGCTACTATTCTCATTATATCTTCATCAGTATAATGTTGGACCTTACATTTACGGCAGACACTCTTTCCCAGACTTAAAATTTGATCATTTTACACAGGTAGGCGAAGGTAGTGTTAGCAGTCTTGCCCAATGACTCTTGTTGGTATAATGTAGGATGCTTACCCAGGTGGGGACAGCATAGTAGGTAGAAGTGTTACCCACTACACTATACCAGCCACAACACTTTTGTGCGTGTGGTCTAAAAAACTCCTAAAAAATCTGACTCAACATCTCTGACTCGTAGCGGCACATGGACAGCATATTTTAGGATGTTTTTTCTCCTGACTTAGTAATACTACTTTCAATTTTAACAAAAAAAATCACACATAGTGCAGCTTTAATATGTGTGTAACAAGCTTCAAGTAAAACACTGATTGTCATTTACAAGCTTCAAATGTCTGCGTTTAATGTAGACTCCCAAAAGATGATAATGTAAAAATAAAATTAGCTTAGCAATAACATACTACTAGAATCTCAGTGGGGCGCTAGCAGAAATTAGCACTGTAGTAAAGGTTGGTTTTTCCTTGTTTTTGACAGAAGTCTAACACTTAAGACTGCATTTAGTGGAAGAGCTGCAGGGAGAACGTCGCTACGCACTTAAAGCCCTGCACAGTGTTCCTTTATAAGTATTTTTCACCCATTTCAGATGGGCCATTTAGATAATGCTGCACGTTTCTGTACAGTTACTCCATTTATATGAAAGTGTTCTGGCAGCTGTGTCCAGACTAGAAGTTTAGTTTTAGCTTTGACAGCCTCAAGTCTGTGACACATATACTTGCCAGTTTATTAAGTACTTAGCACCTACGGTCATTATCCATTGGCATTGAGTGTATCAGGCACAGTGTTGTTGGGCTTTTAAACACCTCAGTGTCCTTGCTGGGTTGAGAACAATCCACCTAACAAAAACATCCAGCCAACAGAGGTCCTGTGATCAGAAACTGACCAAGATGAAGGGGAGAGAATGGCCATTGTACTACAAGGTGTACTGTTTTTTGGAAACTCCTGTTTTCATTTTTTTTCCATTGACTTTCTCCATCGTTATGAAAGTGGATTGTCTCATATCTAATCTCCTCAGAAATATCTCCTGAAAAATGAATAATGGGCAGTCTCTGACTTCTGAACAGTACTGTATGACTGTCTCTTTCCATCGATGAATGGGATCGAGCAGAGGTGGCCGAAGTTTTTTGTGTTTTGGGGTCAAACATTGATTTTGGGCAAAGCAGCAATATACAAAGAAAGATTGAGCTTTTAAAGATGTATTTTATAACATTGCACCACATTTTGTTACTAAAATACTTCAATGGTCAATTTTATTTAATTTTTTTTCATTTAAAAGTAGAACTTAACAACAGAAAGATTCAAAGCAAAGTTGTGACAATTAAAATGAAGGAGAAATATTCAAAATTCTGCACTATTTCCAGATCGCTATTAAACAAATGTGTGAAATTGACCATGTTAAGGCCTTTGTACAAAAAAGTCAGATTTTTTTGTAGTCTTGTTCAGACGACTCTCAGGTGAATTTGATTTACTGCCAGTCATTATAGCAAAAGGAGGCATACCAAATACTAAGGAATTCAAATCCATTTAAAGATCCTACTTTTCAGTCAAATTGTTATGCTGATAATTTCACTCACACACACTTTATCTTTATACGTATCAACATATAGGAAGGTGTACCTAAAGAGCACTTCAACTTTGAAAGTCACAAAGGTAGATACACATACTGAGCACATTAGAGTGAGTGCCAATTAGCAGTATGTGTCTACTATAAAGCCAACTTTCGCTACTTTAATCTCTGAGTTTTCAAAGGAAGACCAGGCGACTAACAGTTCCAAAGAGGTCAAATAGTCAAATTGCAAGTGCATTGATCACAGAAACTTCAAAAGTACTTTTCAGAATGTCTGCATAATTGAATGGTTAAGATGTAATTAAAGTCATTCGGAGTGGTTGATATGAAATGCTCTAAATATATTTTTTAAATACATTCGTATGTAGATAGATACCTGCAGGCTGAAGCTTTGTTCAGAATAACATATAAAAACTCAGAAGACCAGTTATAATAAATAAAATGGCTATATTTGTGTTGGACAGCCTCTGGGTCATGTCACCACCAGTGAAAAAAAAATCAGTATGTTTCTCTCAAACCACTCAATGACTTTGCTTACATTGCGACCTCTGAATTTTGAAAAACATGGAATTCAAAGGGAAAATCTTGAGAAATTATGAAAAATACAGATAAACTGAAGGAATATAAGAGAAGAAAAGAAGCAATATACATTGCCACAATAAGAAACAATAGGAACAGATGCACACTTAACAATATAGTTGAGGAACACAGCAAAACTATGGCCTAAAAACTGACCACAGGATTGAATCAACACCTGATTCAGTCTCAACAAAAGCAAAGCTGCAGCTCAGAAACCCAAGGTCAATGCACAAAGACACCTAACCTGGTCTTATGTAAGCACAAACTCTGAACCTCTGAGCAATCACAAAAGTTATATAGTCTGGTGAGTCATCTTTTTTATTTTTCCCCACACTTGGGCATGTTTACCGTTGGAGAGGTCCAAAGGAAGCCTTTAGATAACTGATTGATAACTGTTGAAGGCTGGATACATTAGGCTTGCAAACTGCTCTGCTTTATAATTTCTATAATTTATCATGCTCTGTGGTTAATGGACACATTGAAAAGTTCATAAAAATGTTAAGATGAAAGAATAAGATTACAACTGAGATGATTATCTGATGTTATTGATAACACTGACAATAAAACATTGTCAACAAATATCTTGAAAATAACATTTTCAAAGTGATGTCCAAGCTAGTGTGAGTTAATGACTTAACCTGAAGAGGGCAGCAGTTTGCTTATCTAGTGATCTGGTTAAATCTAGATATCAAAAAAGTCAGTCTGGTTGGTACAGTGGGTAGTACTGTCATCTCACTGCAAGAAGGGCCTGGGTTCAGTTCCCTGGTCAGGTGACCAGACTCCTTCTTTGTGGATGGCATGT